CTACAGTTGCTTTGTCAACTACTGAGGCAGAATACATGGCTGTAACAGAAGCTATAAAGGAAGCCATCTGGCTTCAAGGGTTGCTTGATGACTTAGGGGTTCAACAAGACCATGTGAATGTTCATTGCGAAAGTCAGAGTGCTATTCATTTAGCAAAGAATCAAGTTAATCATGCACGTACGAAACACATTGACGTGAGGTTCCATTTTGTTCGTGAGATTATTGACGAGGGAGATATTCTTCTTCAGAAGATTGGGACCGCTGACAATCCTGCGGATATGTTAACAAAGCCAGTTTCATTGCACAAGTTTAAGCACTGCTTAGACTTGATTGGCATTTGTAAAATTTGTTGATTGCCCCATGGGGGATTGGAAGACGACTATTAGGAGTTCTACTTAGAGGGTTTGAGCCAAGGTGGAGATTGTTGATTATTGACTCAAACATGTAGTCAAAGTTCAATTCTTTCGGCTACTTTGTGGTAGTGGGAGACAAACATGCAATTGTGCCTAACTCTTTTGACTTGATGGTAGGCCTTTGGCCATTGATGTCTTTGAGAAGCTTTTCTTTGGCTATAAAAAAAGAAGCAAGATGCAGCCCGTAGATGAGGATAAGAAATAGGAAGAGGAAAAAGAGCAAGAAGCCTTTCGGCAGAGAAAAGATTTTTTCTCAAATTGTTTTGCTTTGTATTTTTGGTTTTCTCCCTTCCTATTGCAAAGTGTGTGAGCTTGGGTTATTTGGGTCTTTGGGAAATTGAGTGATAAAGACTATTGTATGTTCTCATGGATTATAGTGGAATACTCCGTTGTCTCCAAACTGGATGTAGGCATTGCCGAACCAGTATAAATCTTGGTGTTCTTGTTGGTGTTGGTTTTATTCTGTTCTGTTTTACTTTTTCACTTACAGTTGGATGCCGCTTCCGCACAACAAGTCAGGTATCACATTATTCAAGCTGCTTTAGTTTCAAATTCTTGGAGTTTGACTCAAGATTAATATGAATTCTGAGACCTGATTCTCAAACCAGTTCTTTGCTTTCTAGACTTATTTAATTCTGCAACTATATGAAAAATTGTCATTTTTGTGTTACCAATTTGATAAACCAATCAACAACCGAAAGCACAATTTTGTAGCTGTCTAATTCTAGGCTGTCAATTTAGGTACCTAGAAGGTGCACTTATTCCTGATAGTAATGGTGGACTGGGTGCTCCGGAAGGACCTACTGGTCGCCAGAGGGACTATGTTCCTTGTGTAGATCCAGGTGCAAGGCTCCCCCACATGAATGTGAGGATATTGTCCGATACCTCAAGTGAGGTATGTTGCTATTGTTTTCTTTCAAATGTTTACATAACAAATATCTTTTTGCCGGTGTTGCCAATTGTTTTCTTTTCCTCATGTGGTGGAATTATATTGGTCTACGTTGGTGGGTTGTGGCTCCGTAAGCCAGGAAGGCTTATGCAAGTAAAAGTAATAATGCAAGGCAACAATTTTATTTATGCCCAGAGTGTCAAAACAGCTTTCATAGGAAATTAACCGTGTTTTCAATTTTTATTCACCTCAACGGCATATACATCTGTAGGTTACCATTTCTACACTGGGCCTTGTATCTGGAGACAAAGTTGAGTTTCTCCTCATTATAGCACCAACAGAGCCATCCTACCATCTTGCTCATGCTGCATTCAAAGTGGCCGAGGAATTCAAAGTTTCTGCAAGGGTGTGTGTGTGTGTTGTATCTGGAGAATTACATTGACGTTGCGGAAGTAAAAAAGTCATCAAATTCTTCATCATGGTGGGATATTTGTCAAATGACTGATAAAGGAGCCATCCTAGTTCGACCGGATGAGCATGTTGCTTGGCGCCTGAAGTCACATACTAAAGATCAAGAAACTGATGGTATCAATTTGAAATTGAAATAAAAGTGATCTTGATGTGCAGATATAACATATTAGGTTTGTCGTAACATGAGACATTTCGGAACAGACTGTATTGTCATGTATGTCACTTTGTAACCAAGTTATGCTCTCTCTCTCTCTCTCTCTCTCTCTCTCTCTCAAAACAATTAGAGGGCCCAACTCAGGAAGAATCCAACATGATATAATCAAAATGGTGAAGGGACAATCAGAAGCTCCACCAGGAACTTTGATAGTCCCTCATCTGTAATCTTACTCGTTTGTTTGTGTTCATGCTTACTGTTTCTGTTTCCTTTTTTTACCGACGGGAGAGGAGATTTGAACTTGCACGCGATTACAGAACATCACTGCCTTCGCTCTCAGACGAGGCATGACATTGTGCAAGTGTCGATATGGAGACATTTGAGGAGATTTTGCTTTCGAAGCAATAGAATTGATGTTTGAGTGGCAACTTTTGGCGATGCAAGCATGATAAAAGTAAAAACAGACTTAATTGGATGACAAAGTATGGTTCGTTAAACTGAGCATGGTACAAGTTGTCTCAACAAGACCATTTCGTCACGAAAAAAAAAAAAAAACTTAATCAAATTACATCTTGCAAACACTTGTGTTTTTACAAAATGAAGACATGCTAATTGAATTATTATATAGATAAGAAGGCCTATGTCTTCAACTTTGGGAAGTATCGCGTATGAAGATGGATCTGCAATTCGCAATCCAAAGGCATATCAGATGTGGCTCTAGGAGATGATACCACAATATCACTATCTATGTGGATGTAAACCAATTCAGGATCATATTGTATGACTGATAGTAAGAGTAATCACATAGCCCATGCTTGCTGTGACAATTCCAAGCAAACCGCCAGCAACCACCTGTCAAACGGGAACAAGAATCATCATAAAAAACGTTCCCTTTTATCAAAGTTTTCGGCATCCTATACTCATGGAAACACTATCCACTAAACAATTTTAAAGTAAGAAACTAAAGCAATATAGAGACCTGAAGAGGGGTGTGGCCGAGAAGTTCTCGAAGTGGTCTGCTTTCAGCCAGAGGATGTTCAGCAGGGAGTTCATACACAATTTGATTCAAAACCTGAAGAGTATCGAAATCCAATGTTAATACGTAGACAACCAAATCAACCAAAATTTGAATAGGATACTCATGATGCTGAATTATATGAGAACACGATGAAAACATGGTATACAAACGTCAAAGTGTCGGATGAAGTTAATTCTTAGACAAAGTGTTAAAAGAAAACTAGTAGAACGAAAAATATCAAAACTTCAAACCTCAGCTTGGCGTCCAGCGTGTAATCTTACACCGGTTGCATCATACATCACCTGCCACCAAATTTTTTACATTAGAGATCTCCAATTGACATGTGCAACACCAAAAACAAGAAAACAATAAATCTTTATCATTGTTTCTAAAATGTATTTTTTTAAGTCCGTGTGCGTACACATTTCAGCTGGCTGCAGTGCAGTCTTATGGAGTACTGAACTAGCATAATGATCACATTATCCAATGATGAATATAAAATTCAATGCAAGCTCAAATGGTCTTCAGACTTGGAAAAAAGTGCAACAAATTATGAGTAAAAATGGAAAATCCCAAATGCTATCTGCGAAATGCTGCAGAAAGAAGTGAAGGATCTTACCACACATGCTAAGACCAATGCAATGGCAAAGAGTGATCCACCGATGCCTTCTTGGAACCCAACGGCTGTAGCAATAGCAGTAACAGTCGCAGAATGAGATGATGGCATTCCGCCGGATCCAAGAAGTTGCTTGAAATCCCATCTTCTTTCCTTGTACCTGCAAATCTATCAAGGTTTAAGAACTCTCAGAATAAACTAATAACACCAACAATCAAAAAGAAAAGAAGCAATTTCCCATTTCTATACAGACGTTCATTTCCACATACCAATCTCACATGAATCAAATTACCATTGTAACATCAAAATATGGCCAATATTTTACAGAAATCAAATTACCATTTAAGCATGTTTTGATTAAAGACTACGTTTTTCTAATCAAGAACCAAGATATGGGCAAACCCACAATTTCAATTAACAAAATCTATGGCAGTACAATTCAATTCAAGAACTTTCTTTTGGGTACATCGAAAAGGTCAAATCACGACTAAGACAATGCAGCGACACGGAATCACCACAAGAACCCAAAATTGACGGATTGGGTCGGATCCAAATTCGGATAACTGCGTGAGAAAGGAGAGAGAAAAGTACCAGGCGGTGAAGACCTTGATGAATTGGGCAATGGAGAAAGCTACGAGAGCAGAGAGGAGAGGGAAGTTGGTGAAGATTGAGGACGATGATGATGCCGCCGCCTCAACCATCGCGCTTTTTTGCTTTATAATTCCGAACGAGACTGCAAATATTCTAAAAGGTAAAATCAAAACCCCAAATCTGAAATCTTTGATTGTTTGATTCGCGGGAGGAGACAAGGAGGGAAAGAGGGAGAGAGAGCGTGACGTGAGAAATCAACGATCTACGGAGTTTTAGGCCTTTGCGCCGTCGTTTTGATTGAAAACAAAGGAAAGCGGTCAGAGTCTGAGAGGTGGCTGGAAATTCTAGGCTCCACGTTCTGGAAAGCTAAAGAAGCAGCTAGCAGACTTGTCGGCCGTTAATTTGGTATCCTTGTAACTAACGGTCTTTCCCCTTCTTCTTTTTTTTTTTTTTTTTTTTTTTTGAGCACATAGATATTTTTTTTTGGTCAAAGCACACAGATATTTTACATTAAAGAAAGAGAAGGTTTGGCTGAACACACAATTAGCGGTCTAATTTGATATCGAATTCGTCATTCATGAGATTCGAACCTAAAACCCTTTTCTTGACTCTTGAGAAATATTTTTTTATTATTTATTTTTAATGATGATACATAAAACAACATTAATATTATTCATGAAAAATCTTACTTTTGAAAAAAAAATCCTTAAATTTTCTCTAACAAAGTTTCACAAATTTGGGTTCCAATCATTTGAGGTGTAATCAAATTAAGATTTAAAAGAATTTTAAAAGATTTTAAAATCAGATGTCGATTAGAATTTTAAAAACATTGAAATCATGGTGTAATCAAATTCAAATTTAATATAATTTACAAAAATTCTAATATATTTTGTAAAAATTAGCATTCGTCATATCGTAATTCCATCAGATTATTCATATTTAACACCGTCACGTGGTATAAACCTGAATGAGCCAACTAAAAGGCAATTTTTTTATTTTTTTTTGGTGCAACTCCATATCCTTCTCGTCGCATGACTGATGGAGAGACGGGGATATACCCCGTTTACACGGAAGATCTCTGTTTCCCTTGTGCCTTGGTCATACGAGTGACGCGGTACGGAAGCCTCTACCAAGAATCTTTCCACCCACAGGGAATGAAAGATGTGGTAGCTTACTGCTTACCTGCCATAACTGAGTTTCCATAGCACTAGAAACGGCAAAAAATCATCAGTTCTGTGCTGGTTTGATAAAAACGTCACTCTTTTTCTTCTGTACTTTGTTTATCCGATCCCTAACTGCATTCTAAGCAGCTTAGACAGCATTCTTCCCCACAAAATTGACCAGTTCCGCCCTTGCCGCGTCCATTACCACCTGGAAGTCTATACTTGTGTATCTTCCCCTGTGATGAAGATATAGCATGTCAGCTCAAACTTGTTTCCAGTGAAGAACTTGATACTGTATAAAAGCGCATTGCCGAGAAAGTGGATCCAACACTTCAAATGGTGTCGGACCCTGCAAATCAAGTTTGTTTACGTACCAGAAGTGAGTTTTAGACCAGGATGTAGAAGGATAGGATGGACTTGCAATGCCATGCATTATCCTAGCAACAGCTCTGGGAGTGAATTTGGCCTGTGAATTGCTCTGCAGAAAGACCTGTCAATCCAAGAGGAGCCAATACATTAGAACTGCCAAGCACGAGCTGTCTCGAGTATATTAGGAGCTGATCACATACGAAGGTTCTTACTTTTATATCTGCTCGCAAAAATCGGCTGCACATGTGAATGTTAAAGATATCAGCACACACAGTAGAAAATCTTGATGCCAAATGATTTAAGTTCCAACAACCAAAGATCATACCGACCTGGATTTACCCATCGTATTAGGGACTTCAGAATTGTCATCTCCATCGAAGTATTCGACAATTTTCTTTTGCAAACATTGTGTGCGTTGGGCATCACAACAACCTTTCGTCTTCTCGCAAGAGTTAACAGCAAAAACTGCCGCATTAAACATTGCGTCCAACTTCCGCACCTAAATCAAAAGCAGAACATATTATTTGTACAAGAGAAACACGTTGTATTTGTACTTCCTCCACTGTTGTTTACAGTGGACGTGTACTGAATTGATAAAAACGTTTAATGTGGTAACAATTATCAATTACCTTGCAACTTTCAACCTCTGATAACCATTTTGTGAGATGTGCTGATAGAGAACAAAGATCTGCCGGGGCTTCGACGATTGTAAAACAGTAGGCTTGGTCCTTCAGTTCGTATGTTACTTCTCCTTTCAACTAAAATAACATAAAAAGATGACTGTATGAACATTATGGTATCATATGTAGGGGGCAGGGGATGACAACACAGTAAAATTTTTCACCTATAGAAGATAATAAAACACAGCAGCTTATCAAAAGCGCAATTATGAAAATCAATGGCAGGATGAGGTTTGAACAAATCTTACCAATAAAAAAGAGAAAATATACAAACGAAATAAAAAACCATAGTACAATTCACCCTTCGTTTTTCCGTTTCCAACTCAAATGGTTAAGTTTTCACAAAAAATAAGATTTTCTTTTGAAGGACTTGAACCTTTAAAATTTGAAGATGATTGGAAAGGACAGTAGCTGTAACTCCAATGCTATTTGCCACAGTCGGTAGGTCAAACACGTATTGTCCTTGCTTAGTCTCAGACCTGAAAATTTTCACTAAGCATAAGTTGTTTTGCCACATATTTCTTGGTGTAAAATAGTTTTCAACTTCTTTGTGTAATCAAAACCACTGATTATACTCACTTTTTCAAAATTGCAGCAACAAGAGCATCTTTCCCTGCAAGTAAAGCTGGGGATGTCTGCATTAAGTACCGCAATATTCAACCATCAAGAGGTCAGTTTTTGTGACATTATAATAATTCAAAGTTAATCTTGGCGAAGTAGAAACCTCTAAACATGCTACCTACATTATGAAAATTCAAGGTGCAAGTCACATTTAACTCTGGAAGTAAATGCAAATACTGCACTTCACCCAACTCCAACTGCGTTAGAAGTGTGAGCATCACCTGCCAAAACAAATGCCAAGAATAGAACATTTTAGTGCTTAGCTTCTGAAGGTCCTTGTGAGTGATTCTTCTATCTTCACTTAAAAATTTAGAATATTGAACAGAATTAGTAGCAGAGAAGGACCTCTTCTTTCATATCAAACTTGCGAGATGCAGTTTCTTTAACCAATGAACAAACTTTCCCATGCGAGTTCTCATCACTGGTGAATACTTGACAGAGGAATTTGTTTACCGTATATTCATCCACACCATCACTGAGAAGTAAGAACACAATACATAAAGTCGTGAACCACTACTAACCTATGAAAGCATTTGATAAAGGGAAAGTAATAGAAGATGATGCCATATTTAACTACCTATACATAAGACTGCGAAGTTTAAAATATGTGATATCATCACAATAAAGATGGCAATGGGACAACCTCCCATCCCGCCCAGCTCGTCCAATTTCCTACATAATTTATCATTCATTTTGTTAACAAATCTAAGACAAAGAAGCTTTTAGAAAAATACAGTGGTTTTGAAGAAACTTCCACCTGAACATACTCCTCCAAGCTTTCTGGCAAGGTGTAATGAATCACCTGAAAAAGATGCAATTTAGGACTTCCAGATACAACTGGTAAACAATGGTACAATAAATCAGCATATTGCGATGCAAATATATGCCGGCATTAAGTAAACATGCGAACATTTATGTTTATGCATGCAAATCGATCCTGACTTTGTCTTTCTTTTTGTGGTGGATACAAGTCATCTTTTTCTAGACTTTCTCAGAAGCCAGGAGCACAAGGCACACGTAATATCATGATACCCCATTTGTATACTCCAAAGTTTATTATGCTTTTCATACACTAACCTAATAGACATTCAGTACAGACACCAAATGTTGTCTTTCTCAGGTTACAGTTCAGGTGAATACGATGCAATGAACAACACTAATTATGAGTTTTTTCTGGAAAGGAAAACAAAGTTATGAGTATATTTCTCTTACAGCACCAATATCCCTCTTGTCAAGGCCCATGCCAAAGGCCACAGTTGCAACAACCTTCCATCAAAACATACAAGTCAATCATCCAAGAATTTGATATTTGAATTTGCTACATATGTAAAAGGAAAGAAAAAGAAACATATCTGTAACACAAAATTAAACGAGAAGAATATAGGACTAAGGAATGAGCGGAGTAATTTTCTTACCACTCGTATCTTGTTAGTGAAAAACAACTCCTGCACTCGACTACGATCTTTAGCAGGGATACCACTGTGGTAACTCTGGTTAGCATTTTACCATAACTTGTTAGGTTTTTATCGTTCCTCATCAATATTTACATACAACTTGTGGATCATGCAACTGAGAAACATGGAAAACTAACCTTTGCAGAGATATTATTGTCACATAAGTATCTGCTTATCATTTCAGTTTCAAACTGCAAAGTTAGAAAGCAAGATTATTTTCCACTCAATGTCAAGAATGTAGGATTATATTCATCCATCCTAAATGAGTATCAAGAAAGAAGGCAAAATTAATTGCAAGAAGTGTTGGCAATCCTCAACCGCTAGTAGTTTAACAGTATTCCATTTCTCCTCCAATAATCTGAAGTTTGAGTATTTCCTCATACAAGAAGGTTATAAATATTGCCTCAGCTTGTTGAAAATGTTATTCTAGAACCACCTTAAAACTATCAAATACACAGTGTTACAAAACATCTTAAGGAAACGGGATACCAGACATTTGACTCAATGTGTACCTGAAATTTGCAGTAGATAATGATGCTCTGAACATCCTTGAACGAAGTTGACTTGATCAACATCAGCAGATCTTTCATTCTATTTAATTCATAACAGATTCAGTTACACATGTAAGAAAACTGATAAAATGAAGGGGGAGAAAGAAGTATTCAGACTTGCCTATTTCCACTCAATGACACTGAAAGTTGTAAATTATCCCTTAGTATTGCTTTTTGAATGAGATTAGTTGGAGGAATCTCTAAAGCAGACATGACAGAACCCAAAGTTGTGGCTGTGGCCGTAGCTGTCATGGCAAGAATGCAGTTGACATTGAGCTTGGCACGAAGAAAACAAGCTCTAAGCCTCATATATGAGGGACGGAAGTTATGTGACCTGGAAAACCCTTCAAAATTAAGTATTTAAGGGGAATTACATACCATAAGATACGAAATTCAGCTGGAAGGATTAGGACACTGTGGAGTAATAATCAAACTATAAAAGACATTAAAACAAGAAGACAATAGTTGGTGCAACCATCACTATTCATTTACCATTCTGAAACACAGTGAGCTTCATCCACCACAACAAGAGATACAACTGTGTTAGCGGAAAATATAGACAAGAATTCCGCATTCAAAAACCTCTCCGGCGAAACAAAAAGCACCTAAAATACAATCCACCAAACTTTAGCTCTCTGGAAACAATCCAGATAGAACAACTCATACACTACATGAGTAAACACTCGATGTAAGACACATTTTACATCCACTGGGGACAAATCATACTCAAATTTACTCAACAATATGTTGACATACCAACCTTTAACTCCCCTTGTTGAAGCAGCCTTATTGTCTCGGAAGCTTCTTCAGGTCTCTGAATAAACAAAAGGAAACAAATTACACCCACCTATTTGTATGTGAGCAAAGAGAGACATAGACTGAGACCGAGAGAGCGCAGCATACCTGATTGCTACAAATAAGACCGCCACGAATCATATGAGGCAGCTGCTTAAGCTGGTCAATCATCAGTGCAATCAATGGACTGACAACCAAAGTTACCCCAGGTAAAATCAATGAGGGCAACTGATAACACAACGATTTGCCAGCACCCGTAGGCAAAACAAGCATTGTCGACTTCCCCTCAAGCACCATCTTGATTGCCTCCAACTGCCCATCTCGGAACAATTCATACCCGTAAGTTAGCCTCAACAGTTTCAACAAATTCTCATCACTCGGATCATTTCTAGCCATCGAAACCGCCTCTTCAAACGATTCGGAATCAAATTTCGGTCTTTTACTGTCTTGCTTTCGAATCTGTTGTTCTGCAATAGCATCTGCAACCAACTCATCTTCTTCACCAATTGTCTCCCCATCATTTTCACCTACTGCTTTCAATTTCCTTTTCCCCTTTCTGTAAAATTTTCGACGACCCGACGAGCTGCTATTTCCTCTTCGGTTCACGAATTTGCGCTTCCCCCTATTCAGATTGAGCTTCACAAAGTTCCCTTCTGCCCCACTGCTTCGAAACTTCACAGGTGCCGAAGGCACATTGCCTCCAATCAAATTGAAACGTTTCTTCACAGCTATGGCCGAAACTCCAGACTTGGCAGCAGCCGCTTCGCGTTTTGGCTCTGGCGGTACCCGATTCGGGGCAGAAGAATCAGACCCGCCAATCGCAGCCGTTGGATCCGGCTTCGGCGCCGAAGAAGACAGCGGCGGCTCGTCGTCTTGGAAAGAATCGAAATCGATGGAGGTCCGTCGGATTTTGGAGAACGACGGTGACTGGAACAAGTGCCTGCCCTGTGGGGCGAGAAGGGTATCGCTGGAATCGACGGTGGGGATCGCGCGGGATGGATCGGACGGCCAGCGGCAGATTTGGTAGGGTAAATTGGGGAGGAGGAGAGGAGATGGATCGGGCGGCGGGTCGGGTCGGGTGGGCTCGGAAGAGGGAGTTTCGGGTTTGGAAATGGGTTTGGACTTAGACGAAGGTCTGTACCTAATTCTCGATGTGCGGGAGGAGAGAATGCTAGGCTTTGGCTTTGGTGGCGGTGGCTTCCGATTTGGCGCCGGTTGTCGCTTTGGATTTGTCGGTGGCGGCTGTGGTGGTAATGAAGGTTTAGTGTGTCTTGGGGGAGTGGCAGAGATGTGAGAGCCGTCGGAGTCGGAATCGGATTCCATGGTGAACTTTGGTCGGAGAAAATTGATTGAATTTTCAAGTCCTTTACTTGATGATATGGTTTTCCCGCCATATTTTGAGCTTTCTTTTTTAGCTATGGTTTCCCGCCATGGTTTAGATTTTCTCTTTCCCTTCCCATTTTATGTAATTTTTAGGACTCTATGATTTTGGGTTAAGTCAAAGTGAAACAATAGGATCCTTATAATATTTTTCTTGGAACTCGTCCATGGCGAGAATTGAACTTGACACTTCAGTTAACTCTACCAAGGTTGCTGAATTTCATCACCGGGCTATGGTCAAGCTGTGGAGATAAGAGGATAATGATGTTTACGAAACACTATGAATAATAATCAAACTATAAAAAGGTAAAACGAGAAGTTCCAAGTGAGAAGACTGCTAGCATCCCCTATTATTTTCGCTTCAGCAATATCTAGTAATAATAATCAAGGTATATTCTAAAACAATCATAATGAATATGAATGAATTGGGTTCTCGTACACTCTAGTGGAGGAATTGAACCACATCGAACTTGCTGATTCACTAACAAGGCCGGAGCAACCACAAACCTCCGATGCCTCTCACCAATTATCAGCACCTAATGACAGAGGAAAACTTTACAATTACATCGCCAAAACATCGTGGATTCTTACAAACATATCGGAACCGATACAAACACTTAGCAAGTACCCCCAAACAGCCCCTTCAAACAATAAAAAAAATAAAAATAAAAAACATTAAAATACAAGTACTCAGCACCATCTCCTCCATAAAGCACGGCGGGCGCTTTGAGTGGGATTAGAATGGAGACTATCACATTATAGTGCAGTTGCACTTGGATTCCAGCTTTGGAGGCTTCATGCCGTCTACCTTGGGAAGCCCTACATTCCGTTGCAAAGACTCGTCAACATTCTCATCGTTCTCAGTCTTACTAGCAGGAAGCTCAGCATCTGTTTCCACCCGCTTTGGCTTGCCCTTCTGAGGTTTTAAAGAAGGTCGACTAACAGTTCTGCTGCGTGGTTCCTTTCTCTCAGGATTGGATTTCCCCAATATTGTAACCGTTGGGTGAAAACCTTCTAAAGGGACTGAACTTTCCTTTTCCATCGCTGTCACTGCAGCCTCATAGGCCAGATTGTGGACAATGGAGCTGCAGAAGAGTATTGTATCTGTTGCCTCTTCTAGTGTCAGGCTTCGTGCCTTTCTTCGACCTTGTGACTCAACCATTACGGTTGATTCCTCTTCTGAAAAAACATATAGGACTTGTCAGCTAATCACTATAATTACTTCTAAAAACTGAGAATTAGCAGAATACAATCCTGAGAGAGCACGAATGCATATGAGAATATAAGGTGGTCAGGAAGCCATAACAAATAGGGAATCATGCTTCTTTCAGAGGGAAAGATGAGTAACACATAGGACGAGGGGGAGCAAAATAGTCATATATTATTGTAATTCTAACTCATGAACTCCACACGATACTCACCACCCTCACCGAGAAAAGTTTTAAGTCAATAAAGTTTGTCAAACATTAAAAAAAAAAGTCTCAACGCAATTTTAAATCATACCTAGGATGCCATATGCATTACTAGTGGTGTTGGTTTCTGGAACTGAAGGTGTCATATCACTGTCAGAAGGAATTGGAACTGAAGGCTCCTGACCTTCCCCAATTGCGCTTTTTGATTCAAGGGAAGCATCACCGTACATTGAACAAGAGGCACTCTGATCACATTTTTCAGTTTCTATTTCTGATACTGTGATCAAAGAGCTGTGAGTAGCAGTCTCTTCAGCATCCACTCGGACAACACTTATGGTGTTTTCGTTGTTGAATGAATCTGGAGTTACAACTGAACATTCAATATCTATGGAACTCCTTGCATTGTTTTTCAATTCTTCACCATACTCATCTGAAGCACAATTTTCACAATTTGGAGATGGAGCTACAGAATTGTCCTCTAACAGAGTGCTAACTGCCTGACTCGACAATTCTGTGGTAGAAGCATCAAATCTTCCACTGCTAGAACTGAACTTAGTATCATCTTCCTCAGCAACAGTTGTCCTGGAAGAAGCTGTAATAGTAACATCTGGTTCTGTACATTCTGAAGCTAGGGAGCGTTCCTGAGATGTTGTGGGCGCCACCTCTGCGACATCATATTCAACATTTCCCACAGTAACCTCAAAACCATTATCATGTTTGTTTGACGAAAGACCTAATGTTTGGCGAGCATGGTTTGGATCTCCATGGGATGATCCAATGCTTTGGGGTTTCATATTTGTGTCATTTGTGTGATTCTCCATGTCTGATTTCTTGCCACTCAGCTGTCGCTGCACATGAGTCTCTGTTTGTCTAGCTGAGCCATAATCAACTGACGATGATGCAGAGAAACTATCCAAGTCTGATTTCTTGCTGCTCAACTGTCGCTGCACACGAGTCTCCGTTTGTCTAGTTGAGCCAAAATCAACCGAAGATGATGCAGAGAAACTACCATGGCCAATGGAGCTTCTCATACTGTTTGAACTTTCTCTAGCATATGACAGATTCTCATAAGGTATGGTTGTGGCTGTGAAAGTCCTGCCCTGAACAACAGACCCCTTGCTACTGCTTGTTCTCTTAAGCAGTATGGAAATGCCTGCACCTTCTGAAATGTCTGCCCTCATATTTGGATAGTTAGAATGATGCAAATTCTGACCCCCGGTGTCACTATTAGGTTGGCTACAACCAACCGTTAGTGAAACCACCCCTTGCTTGTTGGCTAGTCCATCCTCAACTCCCTCCACTGGTCTAACAAGAGATTGTTCTTGTAAACAATTAGGGATTTGCTCACGATCAATATTTTGGCCTGGATCGACATTCTCTTCACCCTGGGAATTGTTTGGTTTTCCCAAATCAGAAACTTGTAAAGATCCAGGCACAACCACCATGGTTTCCAATACATCCAAAGGTTTTTCTTCTTCCACAATTCCGACAGACAAAGCTGGAGAGTTTTCACGAACTTCAGGTATCTCCGGCATCATGACAGTCAGAAGTTTATCTTTCCTACTGCACTCTGGACAAAATCTAATGTTACTTTCCACCCCATCAGAAACATAATACCTGCAACCACATTTAGGACAAGTTTCCATGTCTTCGAGATTATTGATTCCTGAAAAATCACCCTTAACATGAGAATCTTCAGAGGTTGGACTGACTTCCATGATGTTATTGGGGTGAACATAATCTTCCGAGCGACTTGCTCCACACTCCACTGTACTGGTGACTCTATTGAAGTCGCCGTGATGAATGTCACGTGAGCCATCATGGACATCATGCCTGGTGTCTTCATCTACTACATCCATCTTATCAAAGCCAAATACTTCTTCATGACCATCAGAGTATTGCACTTTCTCAGATTCACTGGCCATATCATCCTGGTTGTGATCACTCCCTTCCATATCATGTGCAACACTAGTACCCAGATCAGAACTTGCATTGCTGCTAGTTGTGACTGAGGAGTTCCTGGAAATCAGAGGACGATGCGCAGAGCTTGCTTTTCCAACATAGAAGGTGCTACTGGGAACACTAGATAAGAGCGGCCGAAACATATTCTGGGAGCCTTTCCGTTGATCCTGCACGGACATGGTAAGGCATTTAATCCTATGATGTGGATTTCTATAACGTATGAATGGAGAAATCACAATGAGTGAAGTGCAAATGTAACATATTTATAACTACAGGATTCCAAGGTGTTACATTTCATCAAAAAGCACTAGATTATAATGGCAACCTAATAAATATTAAGAGAGAGGAGAGAGAGAGAGAGAGAGAGAGAGAGGGGAATATTATAATAATTCAGTGCAGTTCCAATTTTCATCATTTTTTATAACTTTGGTTAAATCCAATGTAACTTTATTACTTGAAGTAGGAAAGAAACACACACCTAAGAGACCTTGAATTGAAACCTAGAGAAAACATTAGCAGGAACGAGTTCGGAAATTGTACAAAATTATATTGCTAAGTCACTGCATAAGAACTTTAGCAAACTATCCCTACTTTCAAATAATTGCCTTTCATCAGATAATAAAAGAATTATTTATCATAATGGATGCAATTTAATGCACTAGACCATAAAGTACCATTTGCCGAAGGGCAGAATCAAAGGATCTTTTTGGAGCAGAAGATGAGGACACCACTTTGGCTGGCCTCTTTGAGAAGGCCACAGCTCTGTTGTTTGAGAAAGTACCAACTCTTCTTGAAGTCAATCGGTCCAAACTACCCACAGGAAGAGATTGTAGAGAGTCTAGATCATCATCAATGGAAGATGCTAAAGAACCTTTGCTGTGAGAACTAAATGGGTCTCGATCATGACTATGAGATGAACTGACACTTCTAGAAGCAGTTGGAGACATTGATTGCCTTCTGTAGTTGGAGGAATTGTCCCTACCATTTCTAGATGCTGGTGAGGAACCCCTCACATATGTTGCCGGACGATCAGCAAGAGAAGTACGAAGGTTGGGAGGTGCATCACAGGAGAAGCCTGGAATATTGGTTTGCCATGCTCTTATTTTAGGTGAAGCAGAGTTCCCTCGACTTGACTTTACTGGGGAAGTTCCTCTCATCCCAGGTGAAGCCCCACTACTGCCGGACCCAGTGCTCGTCCTCCGTGGTGTGGGGGTAGACGACCTTGGAGGAGGTGTTGGGGATTTACTTGGGGGAGTAGATGGTCTCTGTGAAGGAGTAGATGGTTTCTGTGATGGAGAAGATGGTCTCCATGATGGGGTAGCATGACGTAGACTTGGGGTTGGACTGGAATGGCGTACTGGTGATGGCCGTCCCCTTGATTGGATTGTACTATTCCCCGAACGAGGAGATGGGCTTAAGCGATTAGGACTAGCACTACCCCTGCTACTTCGGTAACTCTTCTCCATCTGAAAATAAAGCAAGTATGATGTAAAATATACGGAAAATAATGATATCAGCATAATGTTTTAAGGAAACATCAATGAGATGATAACTAACATAATCAAGTCCCATAAAAGTGATTTGACCCCTACCGTGGATGATCTTGATATAGAAATAGGTTGACTTCGAGGTCTGCCCCTCTGTGGTGCATTAACTGGTGGCGGTTCATCATCCAATGAAGGAAAAAGAGGGGTGTCGGGAGGCGTTACTAACCTTTGATATTTAAACACCATATCTTCCATCAGTACAAAGACAGAAATAGGACTGACACTTAAAAAAATCACTAAAGGAACAAAATGTAACCCATTTCTAACGACATAATGATCATTTAGTTTCAGTGAATAAATGGACAAATTTCAAGCAGTAAAACTTTCATCTTTTTGACAGAATCGCTCAAATTCTCAGCCAGTTACAATGCAAGAATCAAAATATGCATGTAAAAAACACCCTCTTAGTTTGCGAGATCATTTTGGCACCCAAAAAGTCACTTCCACACTCTTCTATTTTCTCACACATGAGGAGTTCACAAGGTTGTTTAAAGTTGTTTTTGGAGTGCCAAAATCATCACCCAATTTTTTTAGGGAAATAATTTCTGCTTTCTTTGTCATCTGACAAAATAAATTATTCTGGTTTACTGAACAATTCCTAGTCTTTAAGGTAGAAAGCTTGTCTTACAATTTACAACCAGGATGTATCACTTGCTTACAATGTAAAACGCTTACAAATTGATCCTAGATGCAATTTAATCATGTCTTTAGTACTTAAGAGTGCAAAACATATCTTAAAACTAGAAATATAGCAACGATAAATTAAGGTATCAAACAAAGAAAAAGTATAATTCACCAGTCATAGTCATTTTTCTCCCCCTCCACATTAAACAGGTCGCTACTCTCTCCACGCGTCGGAATGGTGATTCCAAGCTTCACACCCGAAAATTGCCTCAATTTTGTAGCTGTAAGATAAAAAACATAAACGATCCCCGTCAACCCTGCCACCCAAGACAAAATCCTGAACTTTACACTTCCTAGCAAATGATATAAGGAATGGCATCTTACAGAATGTGTCCTCAAGATCATCCGACGACTGAAGCAAGAAATCCTCTTTTTCTCGGGTCTGCATTTCGTTGAACAAGGCAAGATCTTCATCTTTGTCTTTCAAAAACACTGCGCTTTCAAAACTTCGACCCCGTCTGTGAGGGTTCCCTCTTGGCTCTCGTCCAGGAGAGCACCTCAATGACGGCGAAGGAGGCATCTCTCACAACCGAAAACTACACAATCAAAACAGACACCCCAACCACTCCATACAACGCAAATTGAACCAGTACCCCACCATATACACCTAGCTAGTACTCACAATGACAATAATTTGAGCAACCAAACTCGTTCACGATTCGCCGGCAACACGAAATGCACCAAACTAAGTTAATTCCATTTCCCACAGCTCAATAACAGTGGGAATCATACATGCCAGGTCCAAGTCAACTCAAAGCCCAAATAGTATCCAAAATTCAATACAAAATTGCATAAATTAACGCAGCAACTAAAACAACCGTACCAGTCGCAATGCAGAGGCTCAACGTCGACGTACGTAATTCAATTAAATTACGACCTTCATCGTGTACTGAAGTCTCAAAACCCTAGATTCTGCCATTTGAAGACACCAAAACAGAGAAACCACCGCAACCGCCACCAGAAACCTAATTCCAACTCCAATTCACCTCCCACCAACCACTTCACGCCGCCACTGAACCCGAATTCACACCGCCATTGACAAAACACTTCCGGTGCTTCCACAACTCGACTCACAGACAAAAAAGCCCTCCGCACAACTCACTGCGATCCCGAGAACTCGAAGCTCGACAGCAGAGAGCTGGAAGATGGCAATCGCAACGCGACGAATGCTGTATCAGGCAGTCGGATCTAAAGCATTTACTGCTTTGCCTGCACGCTTACGGATCGGAAGACGAAAGCGGTAACGGATCGGTGCGGCAGGAAAAGGAAAGTGGAATTCTCAGGAATTCTTCTCTCTCCTCCGAGCAAATTTATACGGTGCGAGTCTGCGAGAACGGAAGTGGAAAAACTGAAAATATAAAAAATAAATAAAACTGTGGTTTTTTGTCGTCCGGATTTTTGCTTGTTTCCTCCACAACAAAGCTTTCGTTTTCTCTTTTTTGCTTCTTCGGTTTTCTCTTTGCTTTTTTTTTTTCTTTTCTCTTTTTTTTTTCGTGATTTTCTTTCTGTCAATTGCACTTTCTCTGCTTCTTGTTAAATATTTACGAGCGTTGCAACTGCCGTTCACGGTAAGCAGTCTCTGCTTATCCTTTAACCCTTCGTTTTGTTTTTCGCTTTTGTCATGTATTCACAGCATTTGTTAATTTCGTTTTCATACAGATTTTGTATTCTATTTTCCTAATTAAAACTGAGATCTAGAGTGCCCAAATACACGGAAATTGTCTTTTTTTTTTCTCGAACAAATGATATTATCTACATTAAAAGATGAGGAAGTGAGTTAAGTCTTATAATGGATTTGCCGCAAAATATTGTGGAGGAGTGAGCTAAGTTTCACAATAGGCTTGCCATAATAATATGTTAATTCGTTTTTTTGGGAAAATGGAACCTAAGACATGTCATTTATGAGTTAAAGAAAATATCAGTACATCATAGTACTAAATAGCAAAGTCTAAAATATCGATATTATCATCGAAATTTCCGTGTTTTGGACTACCGATATTTCCGATATCATCGATATTTTAGACCTTGATAGGAACTCTATGTGGTACTAAGTCGCTTATGTATCTTATCATGCAATGTATGAAGTGTAAAATATTGTACTAATTCATTATATAAATGATTATGGTGTGTTTAAACTTCTTTCATTAATTAATACATATTTTCTACACTCACAATGTTTGTCAGCTCGCTATATAATCAACTTAAATCAGTTAAATCCATCATGCAATGCATTTCCTTCCAATTTTTTTTTGTAATAAACTAATAGGTAATTAACTAAATAAACATCCTACAAAGTTTCAATAAAAATTTCCAAGTTTTTCTTACAATTTCCGTTGTTTTTATTCAATTTTTATTGATATCGATAATATCCCGATATTTCCATCGAAATTTTCGTGTTTTTTTACTACCAATATTTTGATATCATCGATAAGTAGTACGTATCTTTACACAATGTATCAACATATTACCAATAATGTACCAAATTATTAGTAAGTTGCATTTAATAGATATATGTATGTATGTATGTATGCATACGTATAATATCATTTAGAATTTTGGAGTACATTGGTACGTTTAGAATAACACTATTTGGCTGCACATCCAATTCAACTTTTTTTATAAGTAAAAATTTAAATCAATTATTCTCACCGAAGAAATAAATAGATTTTCCTACCAAATCTATTTATGCAGGTATCTTGACTAGGTTATAGTGTATATACACTTCGTAGTTCATAGGTTTTAATAATTTTTGGTATCTCAGCTCCAATAATCAATTTATTTCCATACTTCCCATACAATCCCATACTCGTAGATTGTATTCTAATTTTAGTTTCAACTTCGACTTAGTAAACATTATTTTGCATTTTTTATATGGATACTTAACTCTTCAGTAATATAAATCATTATCCGACACGTATTAAAAAATATCTCATTAAAATATAAAAGTAAAGTTATACATATTTGTTAAGGGAACTCTTATTAGCACTAAAAAAAACTCATTATACACTTCTTGCAAGTGTAATTTTTTTACTAATTATAGAATGTTTGAAGTGCAAAATAACATTTTTGGAGTACCAATAACAATTCAATTTGTTAAATTGTGCAAATAGGAATGGATTCTTATATGTAACAAATCAAGTATTTTCCTTTTGCCATAACATACTACTCATATGTTATATGTCAGTTTCCTTACGCTTCGTTAAGTCTATAAGTTCAGTGGCAATAATGAACCGCACTATAATTTCGCTTAGCTTTCTTAACATATCTAGATGATTTATAAGATGATATAAGTTATTAACCTTTCCAAAAAACAAAGATCAAGCATACACTTTACGAAGTTCAATTCCCCGATCGTCTCATAGAGCATAAACTTTTTTTTTTTTGTCAATCACTTGCAATTATACAAATAATGAAATTCCCTCTCGTAGAAAGTGATGCTGATAATCACATTAGATAATGACCTTGTTAAGTTTGGATAATCTATACGTGTCAATGATGCATTCTAAAGACAGTGGGAGTGGGACAGCGATGGAATAAGATAAAAAGGCGATGTAACAACAACCATATGTTAATGTTATGTCATGAATCTGTGCACTAATGGAAAGGTGCAGAATGACGTCGTTTTAATTGGTAGGTGATGGAGAAAGAAAACTTAGAAGCCTTCATTGTAATCATCATAACCATTATTATTATTATTATTTTTTAAGTACATCGGTATTTTTATATTAAGAGGAGATGAGTTCGATTAAGTTACACAATGGACAGTTTAATTTGGTATCGAATTCGTCATTCAGGATATTCGAACAGGTGATGGAGAAAGAAAACTTAGAAGCCTTCATTGTAATCCTCATAACCATTATTATTATTATTATTTTTTAAGTACATCGGTATTTTTATATTAAGAGGAGAGGAGTTCGATTAAGTTACACAATGGACAGTCTAATTTGGTATCGAAATCGCCATTCACGATATTCGAACCTAAAAACTTTTACTTATAAGTGAAAATAAATACTACCAAACCGAGAGATTAGATAGAACTGTTGTAAATGATTCCTGTTTGTACTAAGTGCCTTTTTATTTTTTTTTCTTTTTATATTCAATGTGTGGCTTTCAACAAATCTTATATAAATATTTTATGTCAAAAAATGGTTGTGTTTCAACCCACCAAAAATATATTATTATGGTAACAAATTAAAATCGTCGAGAAAAATCACACCCGTAATGCAGTTTTGTTTTTATTCCGTCTTTGAAAAAAATTATTAAATAATTAATAGTAAATTCGAACTTGTTCAGCAGAACGACCTGAGAAAATTATAATATATTACAAGTGCATGCATTGTTTATATTACGTCGAATATATTTTGTCATTGATTATTGTATGAGAAGAATAACAACTTGAATTAGCATTAAAGTAATTATAACTTGAAGACAAATATATTAAATAGAGTTTTTGGACAATATTCTAAAAGACGTTACGTGTTATTAACTGAGGGGCTGAAACCTAGCGTCTAGGCGACTAAGCGGGAACCTAGGCGGACTAGATGAATTTAGTTAAATTTATAGGAAAATTAATGAAAATGACTTTAAAACCTTGAGTTTTAATAATAATGACAAAATAAAGGGTAAAATGAATAGTATCATGATTGACTTTTTAGTGTAAAAATATAGTTTTTCGTTAAAGTGAAAAATACCGATAACTTTTTATTAAAGTTCCCTAAATTTATTATAGTAACATATAAATAGGTCTCTACTTATACTCTAGAAAAAACTATACTTGTATTGAGAATTTGGGGAAGTTAAAACTTAAAACATCATGGCATTGACGTCATCATATACTAATGCAACAAAAATAAGAAAAACCCAAAATTCAAAACCAAATTCGAAAATTCAGTAATTCATAATCTAAAATTGACACAAATTAATCAATTATTCAATGAATCAATATATGTGAATGAGATCATGGAGCGAGACATGGAGAAAATAAACACGAAATGGCGAGAGAAATATACGGGTTATTTTTTGGGTAGGTTCCCACAAAACCCTTTTAACTTAATTGAAAAAATTAAAAAACAATAGAACCCTAAACCTCGAACTGCTTAGTCACTGATTAACCACCGCCTAGCATGTCAAGGCTGCCTAGGTGGCCGCCTAGCTCTTATCCGATTTTCCTCTACGTTTTGGCTTAAGCTGCATCTGACACACCCTAACCCGAAGACTAGGACGTGCTGGCCGTCACGTGAGTGTGACGTAACCATAACGCAAGCGGAAACGATTTAATAATAAAATACGAGTCAACGAAAACCACTAATTGCAGTTATTTACAACCGAGCATTCTATGTGCATAAGAGTGTACTAAACACACATAAACAGAGCATAAGCATCTAGGTGCAGTCAAGTAGGAACATAACTAATTTACAACACCCTCGGGTGAATCCTACATTTATTTAGTCTGTCAGAACGCCGAAGCAGTCTCGTAGGCCACCAACGCCTCAACTATCAACTAGAACCTGGAGGGGCGAAAAAACAGAAAACGTGAGTGGGCGAAAATAAAGCTTTTCCAAAACATTTCATAAATCCACATTTATAACCCCTTTTTGGAAAACCTGTATACTTTCCCAGAAAAATAGTATATAGCATATATATCTCAACTGTCTCAATCATCAATCTTATAACAGATTCAATAAAGAATGTACCATGCCAATTTCAACAGTGTAGTATGAATGCATTAACATAATATAATCAGGTAAAAGAAATAATCAATCGGAGGCCCTCTAATAGCCCTGAACGATTGAACCTAGAGCTCAACATCTATCAATCTCACTCTCTGCCGGAGTCACTCCGCGTGACCTGTCCGGCCTTCTGCACATAAGTCGGAACCACCTAATGTAGTCTGAACGACTCATGGTAATATTCGCTCTAGTGCTTCTCTCATCAATCATCTGTATACAATAACCTAAGGTCACCCACCAGTCATAATCTCACTAACACTCTACGACTGGCCCGTCGTACCCACTCCGCGTGGACTGTACGACCAGCATCTACTTGGATCCAAGGCGAGCGTGCGATGCGGTGAATACTATAAGCACTAAACCATGGTGCAGGATATGAGCTCAATATATCATCATCCTCAACATAACAGTAATTAAATACTTACCTGTGCGTCCACAGCACCATCATACATATATGCATCATACGACAGTTCATAATATCCATAACATTCTATGCATGGCAATCACATCATATTTCATTTCATTTCAAATATATTTTTCATTTAAATTTGATTTCTGGGGAAATCGAGTATATAGGTATATATATATAGAAAGCAATGCCCACTCACTGGTATGTCGCCGGGTCGTAACCCCCTTGACGCCCCTGGATGTGCTCGTCCTCGTTATAAGTTCCACCTAGAAGTGAAATAACTTAAAACAATCATTTAACGCACATTTAACGCACCTAAACCAAACTAGGTAAT